AAAAGGGCCTAATGGGGGAAAATGGGGAAAGACTCCGCTGTTTTAATAAATAGGTGGGTAGGGGAAAAACACTGGGGCTAGCCCCATGTGCAGGGGAACAAAAGGCAGAAAACAGTGACACCTGTCCTGGGGGGGGGGGACCCCACCCTTAGTGACACCAAAAAAATTAACCTCCAGTATGCGGGCCTTAAAAGGACTCTATGAAACATCAGGGACCCCTTAATGTACCATAAAAGTCAGTAAAAACACCTTTTAGGTGAAAGAAACCATCTCGGGGAAAAAAACCCACCATTTTTCAAGGGGACATAAGTGTGTAGGCCAAGGGGGGGCACGGAACTATTGCATTTATGACCAAAAAACCGCCAAAAAAAAGGCCAATGGGGCAACAAATAAAAGCCAAAAATAGTACCAAATATGGGCGGGAATAACCTTAATTCAATATACCCTCCCACAGCTTCTGCACCGGGGTGTGGAACAAAGAAACAGTTCCAGTAGGTAGTTAGAATCCCACCTCCCCTTCCCCCTCGGCAACCCCAATCACAGCAAATGGGGAAAAAAGAATTTTTTGCCAGTTCTAGCCCCATTCTGACCTATCAACGGGGGCTGATATCCCATTACACTTCAAAAGAAGGCAAGAACAATAAACAAAACTAAAAAGCAGATATTACAAGAATACGAAAAAACCCAAAAAAAAAACAAGCCATTCAAAAAAATGGGCAAAAGGGATAGAACCAAACAGATAACTTACAACACCAGAATAATAGGAACCATTTTCAACAGTGGAGGGGCTAACAAACAACAATATGAAAAAAAAAAATAACTGGCTCATTCCCATTCCAACCCTTTGCGATATTTTTACATGCCAGAGAATGAACAAGGCACGGCAAAATCAAAACCCACAAAAATTTGAGATTTACACATTCTCACAACCACCGTTTCTTAAGTGGGTGGACAATTGGGCGAATCATTTAAAAAAAATTGGGGGAACAGGGGGTGGAAAAAACACACGAAAAACACAGGGGGGGGGATTGCTGGGGATGAGGGATGTGGGAAAGGAAGAGAGCAAAAAGCAGGACATCCAACCATCTCTTTTTGACCACTTGTTGGGTGGGGGACAAAATGTAATAATTAATTCAACCCAGTGTGGAAAAGGGGGGGTGGGGGAAAAAACAAGTGTGGGCTGGGATTCCATCTGTAAGGGGGACCACCTTTAACACAAAAAAACTAGCAATCCACATTGTGGGACCCCAAGCAAATTCCCATTGCTTTACTGGGGTATATTATTACACCACTAAAAGGGGATTTTTACAAATTCATTCCGTACTGGACAGAATGGCGCCGGGTGGGGACACAGTTGCCACCCACGAAATGTTGTTCATATTTGCAAGGCCACTTGGTTTTTACAATAGGTGGCAAAAGGGACGTATTGGAATAAACCAAAACCCCCCAAAATTGGGGGCCCCAACGATTGGATTCAGGACTGGCTAGGGCACAAATACAAGGTCATTACTTCGCTTGACATGGACATAACAACACCCATGGGGGTAATACTTATGCCCCAGGCCATCAAAAAAAAACGATGGGAGTTCCACCGGGGCCCTGTATAAGGGGGGACCATGGCGATGAAAACCTGGAAGGGGAACACGCATCATTTCTATCAAGCAACAAAACTGAGGACAAAAAGGCAAGAAACAAATTCAAACCCCACACACGTAGATTTTCTCGGCTTCCAATTAGGCGGGTGTTTTTGAACCCAAAATTGAGATAAAAAACCACATGGGGGCAAACTCCCCAGGGGAGGGGAGCCACTACAACACTGGGGGGGGATCGTTGGGGGGGGGGACTCGGGGGGGAAATTGGGGGAGGGGCGGGGGGGTGGGGGAATTTTAACGGGGGTAGGTGTGTTAAAAAGAGATAGACATTTTGGGGGAGGAAACAAGGGGACAAGGATAACCAGGGTTGAACGTGGTGGGGACCGGAAGGGGAAGTGAAGCCAAAGCTCACAACTGTCCCATGGTGTTGTAACGCGATGCCACAATACAACAATCTTTGCATTGTTCACCTCCCCCCCCAACCATTGTGACCCCAAAAACTAAAAACATGCATATTAACAAAACCAAATAATAAAATCCCACAAATGGACCATAAAAAAAAACAACACTTCGATTTAAACCTCTGTGTTTGCTAAACATACAGTGTATAAAATGATTATAAAATAATAAAATATCCCCCATTGGGATGTGGTTTCTTGTTTTGCGTGCAATGCGACTTGGCCTGGTTTCTTTGCGTCTTATTTGATAAATATTTCCCTCATTTAAGCAACTTTTGGGTTCTTTCTTCAATCCATAACATTTCTCCAGTTTCCCAACCTCTTTTTATCTCACGGACCAGGGAACAGCGGGCGGGTGGCTACAGGGGCAGGACTTTTTCATCACTGATTATGGCCACCTTCATTTATGACATACTTTACAAACTATGCCCAAGTTGGGGGAGTCATTATTTGGTTTGTTTTTCCTTTCACCACCTATTTTTTTTTCTGTAATTCTCCCAAAACAATGTTCCTATTGCTGCTTCCCCATCAACCGACTTCCACTCTCCCATTAATCACTGCCTAACTTTAACTAGTTGGTACTTGTCAAACCCAACTTTTATTCTTTTTTTTACTGTTGGGTTAAGCCCTCCACTACGTAAATTTGTAATTTTTGGAACATCATTCTTTATCCAGGAGGGGAAAGGCTCTAATTATTTCCAATCAATCATTATCCCCATCCAACTAACTTCAACTTCCCTTTGACCCATTCTATCCCCCTGCCCAATTGGAAACTTGTTCTGCGCGGTGGACTAAAAACTTTTACCCCCCGATTGGAACCAAACAAATTTTTTTTTTGGTCCCAACCCAAACCTATACCTCACTCCAAAAACATCCAAATGCAAAAAACTAGTGAGGCAGTTTACAATGGGCTCCCATTTATAAACAGGTTTCAAGCTTGAAAATCTCATGGACTTTTTTACCAAAAAACAAATTCATGCCAATAGCAAGGCTTTTCCCTCTCACCAGCACCAATGCCTTAAAACCGGATTGTAATGATGTGCCTATACCGTCACATCAAGAAATGGTTCACTTCCCTTGAGTG